TAAGCTGAGCTGCTGTCGCTATGGCACGTGTCATGCGGTAGCGCAAATCTACGAGTTTGCTTATAGTGTCATTTAAAAAATACCATAGATGCACCTACCCAAAAGTATATCCAATCGCAGCGCCTAAAATGGCAATATCAAATGAGCAAAAAAAAAATTTTATATTAAGAAAATAATTGTTAGTCTTGTTCAGACAACAAAGCCGCCCATCGCACCCTTTTTACGGCCCCAAGTCAATTTTTTTTTTTAAAGTATAGCTCTGCTCTTTACGCCGGTTTAAATCTATTGAATTAAAACGAACTGCAGGTTTTTCTACTATTCCTTGATTTTTAAGACAAGGTTTTATTGCGTTAGCATTAGTACCTTGGTACATGCGCCAACCTTGAACTGGTTTGGACTAACCGAATTTCGCAACGTCGCCACGGTATGGCGCAACAGCCGCACTGGCTGTGGAAGCGACTATGAAACATCTTCTGCAAGCGCCGACAGATGGCGCGCAGGGTGCAGGTGCGCTGGGTGCGCGCTTTGCCGCTTTCAGAAACTCCTACCTCCAGATTTGGAGACCTGCGGACGCACACGGTCTGCGGTTCCGTTCTTCGAACTTCCGCGCCTGGCACGCCGTTCTTGACTCCCAGTCCCCTTACTGTGTCTCTGGGTCGAAGACACAAGGCATCGTCGACAATGAATACACAACATGCGCGGCAACGCAAGAATCAAGTGGACTGAGGACATCTGCACGAAACCGCCGGCGGTCCGGAGCAGAGGTTTAATCTTCAGTCTCCATGTAATTATCATTCAAACGGTGGCAGATGTGGCGTACTTCACGTTGCCCAGGCCGCTCATATGCACGAGCTATGGGCCTCAAGAATAAACGCATTTTTGCGGTGAATAATTACGCACAACGAAATCGATCTGTCCGATTCCGCGGATCGAGCGCACGTCCTTCATGCACTTGCCAAGTGACCTTTTTTGCGTGCACCAGGGAGAAGAGAAATTTCGATAATGTTTGCTCGGCGGAAAATTGCTGAGAAGCTGCCTTCACCATGCTTTGTTATATAAAACAATTGCGAGCAGTGCTAACACACTATTTATTTACAATTTTTACTTTTACTCATTTGTCGTAATACCGTACTACACTCTTTACTTATTCATTATTACTGATATATTTATATATGCTTCTTTCAGTAACTCCTAATAAGCACTATCTTTGAGTTCGTCAATTTCCTAACAATCGCATCTGATCCAAAAATTCAACGTTAAAACACGGTTGGAGGTGTTTTCAGGTGGTAGATGCTTTGAAGAATAATTATTTATTTTATTTTATTTAATGCCCTCATGGAACGGAACATTGCATAGTTGGGAAGGGGGGGGGGGCAAAACAAACAAATAGGATGTAAACTATTACAGTACAAAAATGCATTAAAAACGTGAGTGGTCAAGGATTAACAATAATGACTGATTTTCGCAATTCTAAACGAATCGTTTGATTGTATGAAAATTAAAGATGCGGGAAGGCCGTTCCATTTAATTGATACTTTGGGACTGAAGAAGACAAGGGATGAATGAAGGGATAAAAAAGGGATGAATCCTGACTTTTGATAGTCAGCGCGGGAGGAATTATACGCAGGAAGAAGGCAAAGCTTTTCTTTTAAATTAGGGTTGGAGGAATTAATATCATGAAAAAGACACAAACGAGATATTTCGGGATTCAAACAAGAAAAGAGAAAGATATTGGTTAGCTTCCACGGACAAGACACGCTCTATGATGATAGATGAGAAAGATAATACAAGCACCACGTTTCGAACAGCCTCAAGGTTACACACTAGCCTCTGGCCACCGGGATTTCATTGAAGCAGCTTGGCTCCAACTTAGAGCGTAGAAGGGTCTTAAATAAAAGCCATTTCAAAGACAAAGGGGCTCATATAAAATTTAGTTTTAAGTATGAGAGGATTGAGTTGGCGTTAGCAGTTACATAATGAGAATGAGTCTGCCATAATATGTTAGTGTTATTTGTCTATACATGGTGAAGAGACGCTGTGCGAAAGACATAGAGAAAAGAAAAACGCACACGACAGGACAAGCGCTGGTCCTGCTGTGTATGTTACTCTTTTGTTCCTTTCGTTTGCACAGTTTTTTATCACAGATAACGGCAACCGACTTGTTTAGCTTTCAACTTTATTACTGTTAATTGTCTGCCAATCATAAATAAAAGTAAGATGCCTTCCTCCTACAAGAAAGATAAAGATGATTATTTTCAGCATTGGCGTCTAAATCAATAAAACTGTTGCATTTCACTATATATATATATATATATAAACGAATATGCGCAGATATTCGTTGATATCCTCCTCGGAGACCACCTACGATGGTGTGAAGTGCCCGTGTTGTATATATATATATATACAGGGTGTTCCACGCGAGGTGTGCAAATTCGATATTGCCAAAAAAAAAAAGCGGCGCAACGAAAAGGCTTGTGTCGTTTGGTCCTGGGCCAGGGTCCTATTTAGGAAAATGATTAAAGTCCTGGATGAATAGATCCTTAATTATTTGAAAGTAAACATTTGGCAGAAATCTGCCTGGTTGGGTAAGAACAATTAGAAGAGGAGGGAGGAACGCCAACCAAAAATAAAAAGGAGCCCAACGTTTCGAAACCTGCTTGGTTTCTTCTTCAGGGGCGACTGTGTGCGCGAGGAGCAAGTGGTCTTCTTTTACGGCGGTGGACGTGATGTTTTCGCGATCGTAATGTGGCTGAGCCCGCTGACGTAAGCTGACGGTAAAGCGCCAAGCGACCGATTGATGTTTTGCGGTGTGGTTTGAATGTGCCATGACTCGACGAAGAGCCTTTGCCGGGAATTGGTCTCAATGTCGAGGATACGTGTGTCGTCGAAGTCAATGCGGTGGTCATTCGAGTCACTGTGTAGGCGTTTGAGGCAAAGGCTTCGGGGTACGACGTGTAGGTCCCGGCAAGTGCTTGTGAAATCTAAGTGAGTCTCAAACATGGCGATGGAGCGAGAAACGTTCACGTACCGTTTCGCCAAAATTGCTGCCTCTTCTCCGAAGTCCCGGCGTAAAGACTTGAAAGTAAACATTTGGCAGAAACCAAGCAGGTTTCGAAACCAAGCAGGTTTCGAAACGTTGGGCTCCTTTTTATTTTTGGTTGGCGTTCCTCCCTCCTCTTCTAATTGTTCTTACCCAACCAGGCAGATTTCTGCCAAATGTTTACTTTCAAGTCTTTACGCCGGGACTTCGGAGAAGAGGCAGCAATTTTGGCGAAACGGTACGTGAACGTTTCTCGCTCCATCGCCATGTTTGAGACTCACTTAGGTTTCACAAGCACTTGCCGGGACCTACACGTCGTACCCCGAAGCCTTTGCCTCAAACGCCTACACAGTGACTCGAATGACCACCGCATTGACTTCGACGACACACGTATCCTCGACATTGAGACCAATTCCCGGCAGAGGCTCTTCGTCGAGTCATGGCACATTCAAACCACACCGCAAAACATCAATCGGTCGCTTGGCGCTTTACCGTCGGCTTACGTCAGCGGGCTCAGCCACATTACGATCGCGAAAACATCACGTCCACCGCCGTAAAAGAAGACCACTTGCTCCTCGCGCACACAGTCGCCCCTGAAGAAGAAACCAAGCAGGTTTCGAAACGTTGGGCTCCTTTTTATTTTTGGTTGGCGTTCCTCCCTCCTCTTCTAATTGTTCTTACCCAACCAGGCAGATTTCTGCCAAATGTTTACTTTCAAGTCTTTACGCCGGGACTTCGGAGAAGAGGCAGCAATTTTGGCGAAACGGTACGTGAACGTTTCTCGCTCCATCGCCATGTTTGAGACTCACTTAGATTTCACAAGCACTTGCCGGGACCTACACGTCGTACCCCGAAGCCTTTGCCTCAAACGCCTACACAGTGACTCGAATGACCACCGCATTGACTTCGACGACACACGTATCCTCGACATTGAGACCAATTCCCGGCAAAGGCTCTTCGTCGAGTCATGGCACATTCAAACCCCACCGCAAAACATCAATCGGTCGCTTGGCGCTTTACCGTCGGCTTACGTCAGCGGGCTCAGCCACATTACGATCGCGAAAACATCACGTCCACCGCCGTAAAAGAAGACTACTTGCTCCTCGCGCACACAGTCGCCCCTGAAGAAGAAACCAAGCAGGTTTGGAAACGTTGGGCTCCTTTTTATTTTTGGTTGGCGTTCCTCCCTCCTCTTCTAATTGATCCTTAATTATTTTTGCATAATTAACTTTTTTGGTACTGGGTTCAAAGGAATGGTTTCAATTAGAAAATTGCTCAGCATTATTAAAAGACACTAAATCAACATATTGTTGAACGATAGAAAGAACGCGAAGAATTTACGGCTTTCTGAAAAACCGCACAAATTCGCCGGGTTTTTAAGTTTCGGTTTGCTATCAGAGCGCATCTCAGCCCCGGCGGCACAGCGCCCCGTGGAGAAATAGTGCAAACAACCTCCGCTGCGTCACGCGATGACAGCGCAGCAGAAGCTGGTTGCACTATTTCCCCACGGGGTGCGGTGCCGCCGGGGCCGAGATGCGCTCTGATCGCAAACCGAAACTTAAAAACCCGTCGAAGTCGTGCGGTTTTTCAGAAACCCGTAAAATGCTTCGCATGCTTTCTATCGTGCTGCAATTTGTTGATTTAGGGTTTTTTGATGATGCTGAGCAACTTTCTAATTGAAAGCATGCCCTTAAACCCAATATTAAAAAAGTTAATTATGCAATATTATATATATATATATATTCTTCGAATAACGCTTTGAACACAATCCTCGGGACGATGTCTTTGCCCTTTGAATGTATTGACTGCCCATCACAAAAAAAAAAGAAAGAAAGCTCTCTGTCTCCTAAAATAAAATAACATATAAAAGAAAAAAATGTTCACAGCATGCGCGTTTACATCGCATAACAGCTGCATTTTTGTTATATATTGGTCTGGAAGACGTTTTCAACAGAGATGCGGCCTCTGGTTTTCAACAGAAACAGTGGTACGATGCCTTTGGTCTACGGTAAGTTACTGACGTTGACAATTTCTATTAAATATCTAGATATTCGTTATACCTTTGACAAACAAATTGAAGTAAAGTAGATATTGACAAAGAAAAAAAAACACAGAATGCTTCCGTTGCATTGTAATGTTGCCCGGGCCCCGCTGTGCTGATGGCACATAATTCTACACGAAACACTTTCACCTGATTGTTTCAGGGGGAACTAATCATATTGGCATTGTGTAGAGAACAACTTATGTTCGGGGGCTCTAATTAGGCGTGGACGCGAATTTGTGTTTTGTATGCTGATAGCTTTTAGTTTTCTTTTAAAATATCTGATTTCCAAACTTGACTTCACGAATAAACTGTGGCACTGAATCACTTTTGTCGCTAAAATGTTGTTTTTTTTGGCCGATTAGCTTTTTGAATTTCTCGACAAAACATTTGACATTATTTTTTGATAAAACCAAAGTTGCAGAAGAATGCAGCTAAGCAGGATGAAATATTTAATTTCTTCCTCTTAGCTCTTCATTATAATATAAACACTATTAATATGCTTCGCGTTTATGAGTGAGAACCTTATACGCACTCTGACATGTTTGTTCAAGCGGAATTAGGAGGGGAATTTTGAAAAAGTTAACATGCCAATTTATCAATGGGTACAAGTTTTGTTATAATCATGAGTAAGAAATATGATTGTTATTATACATGACGTACGCTCTATAGAGCGTACTTTGTACTGATAAACAGAATCGTTTGCGTACACGTTGGTACATTGTGGTTCTGTGGAACGCAGGCTGTGAGCAATCTTCGTTGTACACAACTTTATGAGTTTATCCAGAGCCGTCAACGTCCTATCAATCACCACATATTTGTGGTGGTAGTAGAAAACCGTATGAAATGAATACTACTAATCAGCTGAAGACATCATATCTTACCAAAAGTTGAAAATATTAGATTGGAATAGTATGGTCAGAAGTACTAAATACGTTAAAAATAAAAAATGAAAAAAAAATTAAAAACTTAACAAGCTTTCTTGGACATGTTTACATGCCAGCATAAGCGCTGTCATTTTTAAAAAACCAAGAAATATATGTTGGAAAAAAAAAACGGCTCTGCCTTTTCTAAGCGAAGAGGTTATTTTCACAGTTATGAATCGTCACGGACAGAAACATAGATTGAAGTGAAAACAATATACACGTTTAATGAGGCAAACTTGTGCCTTGTAACTAAAACAAAATGTATCGAGTGTTCTGCGTCACAGGTGTCACTGCTTTCGTGTTGCCAGTCTCAGCTTCCTTTATACAGACTGCATAGTCTAGAGCGTACAACACAGGAACAAGCGATACTTTATATAATTCTACGAGAACGTTCTTGAATGGTCGCGAAAGATGAAATTACGATGGGGAGTTTCGAACGCCGTGTCAAAGTCTTTCTCGCAATGCACTCTGGAGAACCATAACTACAATCTACATTTGATAAGGAGAGGCTTTGCTAATAAGATTGAAAAATAAAAATGCCTCCATAGGTACCGCCTTAAGGGCACAGCCGATTTAAGGACAATTCAAATAAAAATGAATTGGATCGTATGATCAAGTAGGAATATTCAGGAAAAGCCAATCGGAGTTAAGTGGGGATAAATGAAACCAACTGTTGTAACAGCCAGTGGAACGGCCCGGGAAAACCAACCGGTACTACAAGTAGCCACGTGCTCGGCTCACCGTCCAGCTCCGCTACGAAGACACGAGTGTGTCTCACAGCGGGTCCGACGGTCACTGTTTGGCAACCATGAACCAAACTGCCCCGTCGCAGTGATCACTTTTATATCCCTCGGCTCCCCTGGAGACCACCCCCGCAATCCTGCGGGGATACCAAGCCCGTTATCCTGCGGGGGCGCCTTTCTACTTGGGAAGATAGGAGAGGCACCACCTCTATGACAGCCTTTCCCTTGTATGGATGCCTCGTCTCGGATCACCACGCAGCGTCACACGTACCGCGTCACACGTGCCGACTCACGTCACCCACTCCACGTCCTACTCCCCAGATGTCAACACGCTTCACGTCGCACTTCCATCCTTTTTCAGTTCAGGTCGCCACACGTCATGCGTCCACACATTTGGGTCGTCGTTCCACGTCATGCGGGCTCACGTCGTCCCCCCGTCCCACGTCCCACGCTGCGCTCCCCGCCTCAGGGGCTCCGTCCTCCATTGGGGTAAGCTAGGGTTTCCAGCACTTTTTGTCCCCCCCGTCCACATATGGAACCCCAGTGCTAGGGTTCCCTACCCCAGGGGGGGGGGGGGGGGGGGGGGGTTTCGCCAGAGCCTCCGTTGCAGCAATGAAACTGGCAGGGCGCGCCACAAGCAGGTGGAGGTTGGCTTCCCTCGCGGCGACAACCGCGGAGGCTTGCGCCCCACTGCAATCTACAGAGAAAGCTCAACGATTGACGAGACAGACAGTAGGTTTTGTTCGAATGGCTCGAATTGAAAAGCGTAGTGCGCGTTATAAATTTAGCATTCTAACGAGAATCGGCATGTAGTGACTGCTCTTGCACAGCGAAAGTTAAGAGCGATTTTGCGCTATTTGAGTCCGACTACTGCTTGTACAATCGTACTGAAAGAATGTTTACACATAAAGTAACACTCCACTTTTACACTGAGCACGACGTGTCACAGACTTCCGTCAGGATCTGTCAAAGCCCATGCTGTTTTTGAGGTCTAAGCAAATTGTATGCACGTCATTCACCGAGTTCTCTTCTTGAATGGCAGCCATTGGTTATCCTAAGTCTTCTGCAATAATGTACACGCATCAGAGACAACTGTTCTTATCAAACATATCCGGCTTTCCATCTGTCCTGTCACCTCAGGTGTCCAACAGGGCGCATTGCTACTCCTTGTTTACATATATAATTTACCTCAGAACCCCTCATCCTCTCTCAGTTATGTTATCCTTGCAGTCCGTGACTTCCTACAAATATTTGTCCTGTCAGGGCGAACTCATATTGTTCATATAACTGTTAACGCAGCTCTACACTCGAATACTTGAAAATATATTTTACATTAGCCTTCCTGTCCTTGAAATAATTTTTATTTAAGACCCAAGTGCGTGCTAGTTTGGAATACGCTGCATCAATGATTCGTCTCACACGTACGCTGGTGTCGAACCTTGAGGCTCTCTGAATTGGCGGTGCGCGAATCTATCATCGTAGCGCCAGGGTCATGTCCATTATAGCAAAGCCTATCTCGTCTTCTTGTTTGGTGCGTCGCAAAATATCTCGGTTATGCTTTTTTTTCAGCAAATGTATTACGCACGCTGACCTTGCTCTTAAAGATAAGCTTCCCTCTTCTTCATATATTTCCCTCGCATTCACCATTAATTCAAAGTCGGAAATAATCCCTCTCGTATCCCCTGATCTTCACTCGCGGGGCTGGATGGCGCATTAAGCAAACAGGTACGGATCCACCCGAGGTAATCGGTCTCCGCCGAAGTGAGCGCTTCACATGCCTTCCATATTGCATGTGGGTTCGCACAACTTCCAGGGCGCTGGATGTTTTCTTGTCGTCTCAAGAGAGGCTGCTTTATCAGCAGTAACAGAGCATGCAGGCCGGAGAAGTTTTCTGGGAAGCCATTCGATGTGAACATTTTGAGATTCCAGATAATCCAGGCCTCCGAAGTTTGTGCTGAAGTTGACTGAGCGCTCCGATTGGCCTACCACGACGACCACTTCGTGCCCTTTTCGCGAACGTCCAATCGGTGCGCTCCGCGAAATTTCATCTCCAACTTTCTGTGTTGGCGAGTTAGAGTCCCAAGGGGGCATTTGTCGCCGGTTCAAATGACTTGTTCTGGGAATATGATTCAAAACGGGCTTCTTTAAACGAACTCAAGGAAACTAAATCATCCATTGAATGGACTAGTAAGTCACACAAACGCCCGATTTCTGGCACAGGCGTCAAACTTACGGTGGCTTCACTTCCGCTAGGCTCGGAGAGCGCGTATGCGCCATCCAGCCCATTATAGATCAGTAGTCACAGCAATGCATACATCGACTGAACTATTCCACAAATGTCATTGGAGTAGAACCACCTTCCCGCATCTCCAATGCATTTATACCATCAGTCCATCAGTGTGTAATTGCGATAAACTATCATTCTACTATTTCCTGACCGCTCATGTTTTCACTGCATTTATGTACTAGACTCGTTTATATACCACAAGTTTGTTTTGTTATCTCCCCTCCCTAGTACCTCTCTAAATAATCCGGGCCTTGAAAATAAAAAAAAAATGTTTTTACTCCTTTCCATACAGCAGATGTTTAGTGAACTCCAGAGCGGGACACGGCAACTCGTCGACAGTAATGCACGAGCTGATGAATAGCCTCCTGTAGTATAGGCTTCATGATGGCTATGCCAATGCACTTGCGAAAAAGCTTGTATACGGCCTGAGCTGTCACGGTCAGATACACCACAAGGGTGTCTTTTGCAAGCATAAGATGGGCCCGAAAATGACCGAGATGTCAAGCGGGCGATACAACCCAGCGAAGCCAAACCACGCTGTGAGCTAAAATGCCTGGATATGAAATTAACACTTGGCGTTTCTTACACATGCCGACACTCACTGTTGCCGAAAGCGCAATTCAGGTACTTCAAAACCACGAGCTAGTGCCGCACCACAATTTGCTTTCAGAGGCTACTCTATATCCGCTCATCTCAGTGCAGCGCCGCCATTCGCTTCCAAATATCACACGAGGCATGGATATCGAGCGTTGATGTGTTAGATGGTTTGATGGCCCATTGCAAGACTAACAAACATTCACTGAAACATGGGATAATTCGGTTTAACCCAGAGGCTAACGAAGCGCGACTCACGCGCCAAGTTGTTATCGCGGGACTGGCTAAATTACAGTCACTGGATCCTGGGAAAGCAGTGTCCTTAACTTCCCTGCCGGCCAACCGGTCACAAAGAACTAGTAAGATACAGATGACCAAAACCTCATAAGGCAATTTTCCGAAAGGTCTCTATTTCTTTGGCAATCGCCATTTCGTTCCATTCATATCTTCGAAGCACCGACGCCGCACGTAGTGGCGGTACGAAAATGTACCCCCTTTCGCCGGTGTGTGGATAGCAAAATCTCGGTATTCAAGAAACGCCTCTATAAGGCTACCCGTCACCAGCGAATTAAGTTTGGCTCACCAAGAATGGAGATGTATAGGAATAACTGCTTATTTCATGAACCGAAGCGGTGGCCATACGGGGAGCTTGGCTCTATACGGGGAGCTTGGCTCTAGTCTCCAAGAATCCGGTGACTTTAGGTCATATATAGATCCTTGAATTGGTCGGCATTACTACGTCGCATGTATATCGCCTCTCATTGAATAACAATAATGATCCCCGGAGAAGGGGAACAAGGGGGTCAAAGTTCAAGCGCAAATTGCCAAACACAGCTAGTTGACTGGTGCGCGACTTGCACTTTTGCGTTAATTGCAGTATCATGAATATATATATACATTTGCATACACACACGAAATGTATATACATAGATTTTTGGACTCAAATATTTCCAAACGTATAAGGTAAATATATGTTGATGAAGCTAAAGCAAGGCTGGTGCTGTCTGAGAAGTAATTTTTGTTTTTTTAAATCCTTAACAGGATTCGTTTTGCTTAAGGACTAAGACAACGTGAGTTGCCTCTGCGTACGAAAGTTTCTGTAATTTCTCTCTGAAGGGAACTACAGGACAACATGTCCCCTCATCGGTCATCTGTTGCATATCGAAAGACTGGCTGGAAGCAGCACTTCTGCAGACACCCGATCTTAACAGACTGATCACGAAGCGGACACAAATTTCAATCAACGTGCAAAGAAAAATAGAGACACGGAGTTCATTGACACTGACTGGTTCAAATCGTTCTCTATTTGTACATAGAGTAATCTAGCAGATGTATACTTTCGTATACATTAGTGTTTCTGAACGTCTAACAAAAACCTTTTTGGTCTATTTAATGTTTCCTGAACCTTTACATCTCTAAATTTGCAAGAGCTTGAAGGTGGTTTCGAGTATTAAAAGGTTCAGTATTTGATACGCAGATATGTGGATGTCCATGTTTGGTCCTGATTTTAGGGACGGATATACTAGCGAGAATCAGAAGCCGCATTTTTCAGACAAATGCATAGACATCAACCCTAAATTTAGACGAGGAATGATAATTGAATTATATTGCTTGAAAATGATTAAAGCGTGCGCATCATAATCAGAATTGTGTATCACGCCAATATTAATTACGGTGGGTGATGTTTCGATAATCTGAACTATATATTTTTAACCTGAAATTTTAGGGCGTCTGAGGAAAGTTCCATGGAAAGTGAGTGATCTACTTAAATGTTAGATTTCGAAATAATGGCTCTTCATTATGATTGACAGTATGAGGCATATAAAAGTCAAACATGTTCTATAACCTACATGTATGATAGACAGCGCGACACATATAAAGATACGGCACTCCACATGTTTAGGGCGTGGTAGTTTGTATTGAACCGTTATCCTAAGTTTGTAGACTTTAAAAATAATGATCGTAAACATGATTTCTGCACCTTTCACCAGGAGGTTCACAAGCCACAATGAAGATTCAAGCATTCGCGGCTCTTGCTGTTGTAGCAGGTAATATATTGGCATCAGTATCGAATTGTGGTGAAAGTCGTCTATCTCCAAGTTGAAAACAAATTTGTTTGCAGCTGATCTCTTAAGATCAGCGCTATTAGGTCGCGCAGCAAAAGTGTATACTCTTGTACAATTTAGGCTCAAACGAACGATCGTCAAGCAAGAGACAAAAAGTGAAAGAGAGAGAAAAAACTTTACAGGAGGATACTTAAGTCGGTTTATCGGTAGGAATGCAAAAGCATTCCTACACGCAGCGCGTTCCTTCAAGCAGCGTGCCACGCCTTCCTTTTTAGCATGGCGCTCCGGCGGGAGCATCATGCTCCCCCACTGTGCAGACGCAGAACACCTGCCGGCTCCAAGTCTTCTGTGACGATGTATCTGATATGACGCGTCGCAGCCAATGAGACTTTAGGTGCCGCTTCGCTCAGTCAAAGGGAGAAGGGAAATTTAGGTACCGCTTTTCCCTACTACAGACACCGACGGCTTCCTTCCATGGGACAGTTAATGCCTTCGCATTAAAAGGTCCGCGGCGAGGGGCCATAAGCTCAACCGGCTCAAAAAAGGAGCGCGCGGTCGAGAATAGGGCGCTACACCCTAAAGAAATAGGGTCTGTCAGTTTCCTTTCTGGCGAAACACAAAGACAGCCCAACCACGGTAAAGAATGGAAGGATATCACCGAATAACAAATCTCACAATACATTGAGTCTAAAAATTGTGACGCATGCATGGTTATTTGTATACAGAGCTTCCTGATTCGCGGCCGGCCCTCCGCTTCCTCACTTCTTCACCGTGATTAACTGCCTCCGTGTACTGCTGGAGAGTGAACCCGCAGGAATGTTTTTTTATACTACTGTGCCTTGAAATGTTCGTTTTCTGTGGTCCCCGATAAACTATGGATGCACCTCACTCCCGCTTTTTCTAGCTGTCGCGTATTCGCGCTTAACCACGTGGTGCCGGCTTCATGTTCGGTGCCGCCCCCTTATGGTTTCCTTTCGCGAAGAGACGACCAGGATTGGCCTCGCCGCGATCGCAGGGATCTGACTCTGCCTTGCGGTACTTGGCAGTATTTGGCTGACTGAGAACCAGCGATTGGGCAGGAATTATCAGAATACAGGATGCAATGGCTTGGCCAATCGCGAACTTCGAGCACAGCGGCGTTTTTAGTTGCGCCCGTCGCTGATAGATAAAGAATCGCAGGGCGTGTATTTTTATGTTCACGCCTAATGCTTCGTAATCGATTGTTCTGCGTTCTTAACGGCATTATCTGCGGAGCGATGATAAGGTGACATGGTCTCCGTGCTTTAAAAATTTCTTAAGCTGACGGCGAATCGGTGACTGTAGTTGCAGTGATCCCATTGAGGCGGGACCACACAATTTATTTCGGAGTCCTCGCGCCAAACCAAGAGAGAAACGTTTTTGTTTTTGTTTTTTTTTCCTTTTTCGAGCGCACGGCTATGACAGCCCACGATTTGGAGATCTCTCGGAAGTGTCGCCCGTAAAGCTATCGCTTCAGAAACCTAAGACTCTGTATAAAACGACACGTACAGAAATTATTCCCTCTTTATTTATCTGCGCTGAGAAAAGAAAACCTGGCGGGCAAAGTGTCGAAACGGAACAAAACAACATAAAAAAACGAGACAAAAAAAGCGCGATATTCTTGACGGAACGCTAGCAGAATCAAAACATTATGTATTATTTTGTTCGGGAGTAACCAAAAAATGTGCTTAATGGTTTTCGGTTCAAATGGAAAGTACAGGTATCTCGGTGTTTCTTACACGCAGCGAAGTAGAAAACTGCAGTCGGTATGTCGCCATTATTGAAGGGCAGTCAAGCATGTCTACGAATGTTCAAGAACCAGGAGTGTATTTATATTCTGGGAGAAACTAAGGACTTGCCACCAGGAACTGTACACTTTAAAGCAAGTAGCCCTTGGTTCCCTTGATGTACCAGCCGCACAAGTAAGCGTGGACCAGTCATTCTTGGGGTTAAAATTTATTTGATGAGAACAGAGGTTTCACATTTTACAGTGTACACTTGACGCCCCGCTTCAGAGATCATTGCCTTGAGTCGCTCTTTCTCGTGGTGCATATTCTGCAAATTTATATCTTTGGAAAAAATGCGCACTTGCTAAAACTTTGTAATGACATAAATTATAAGAAAATAATTATTTGTTCTTTATAAGGTTAATTTATATTCTTTGTTGCGCTCAAACAGAAACTCTTACGAAGCCTTACGGGCCATAATATTTCCTTCCGTCGCAGAATCTGAATGGAACTTGTTTCTGTGAAACAAAACTGAAATCAGAGCAGAATATATATATATATATATACAACGGACATCATGGCGGGAGGCCGAAGGCGTGGGTATATAACTGAGAAAAAAAAAAACCTTAGTGAAAACAGCAACAACGGACGATTTAATCTTCGACGTTTCGGCCGGAGTCCGGCCTTCGCCAGGCGAAGGCCGGACTCCGGCTGAACTGTCGAAGATTAGATCGTGCGTTGTTGCTGTTTTCACTAAGGGCTTTTTCTTCTCAGTTATATATATATATATATATATATGTATATATACCGGGTGTTTTTGCGAAGACTTTCAAAAATCCTAAAAATTAGGGCGATTGAAAAAATAAAAAACTCTCTTCGGGAACAAACTACCAGCCACGGCGGACGTCAGGAATTGCCAAAAACCTACTAATTAGCCAGATAATTAATTAAAACTTGTTAATTCACTTTTTAATTAGGGGAAATAGACATATGGTTCCAATTCGAAAGTTGCTGAGCGTTATCAAAAACCACTAAATCAGTCATTTTCAGAAAGACTTTGAGCGCGTAGTAGCGAGTAGTAGCGAGTAGTAGCGCACTAAAGTTACCACTCGTGGAGCAGGTACAAGGCTAGCGGTTGCGGATGCGGTATGGCGCCCGCGCGATTTTTCCGCCTCTTATCTAGCCCCAGCCTTGTACCTGCTCCACGAGTGGTAATTTTAGTGCGCTACTACTCTTCTCAAGCGCTCAAAGTCTTTCTGAAAATGACTGATTTAGTGGTTTTCGATAACGCTCAGCAACTTTCTAATTGGAACCATATGTCTATTTCCCCTAATAAAAAGTGAATTAACAAGTTTTAATTAATTATCTGGCTAATTAGTAGGTTTTTGGCAATTCCTGACGTCCGCCGTGGCTGGTAGTTTGTTCCCGAAGAGAGTTTCTTCTTTTTTCAATCGCCCTAATTTTTAGGATTTTTGAAAGTCTTCGCAAAAACACCCGGTATATATATATGACGGGCATGGGGTGGCGGGAGGTCAAAGGCGTGGGTATATAACTGAGAAGAAAAACCGTTTCTTTTGTGTTGTGTTCGTGTTTGCAAAGGCTATATATATATATATATATATATATATATTTCCGTCGCACCGGTTGCTGTAACCACAATAGGTAATTTTTCCAGTGTTCGATATCGAGGTGCACATTCTAGTGCAAAGTACAACTGTACTGGCAGTCAGCACAAATTCTTTTAAAAATATGTGTAAAGGTTAATATTTGAATAGGTGATCCAATTTATATTTTGACAATAATTCTGGCAATGTTTTGGTTCAGTTTGGAGCAAGTTGAGGACGTCGGAATGTGGTATCGCACTCTAATAGTTAATGAAAAAACAATTGGCAACGGCCTTTAACTTTAAACTCCTATAAAGCATGACATCCATTATAGGGAATTGGTGAGGGAATTAACGAGAAACTTGGTGTTTCACGTGACGCATATTTTCCAGCTTTGCGGGGGAAACTGAATGGTTGTAGAAATCACACGGTGTCAATTTTTCTCACTAAATTTGGCGGGGAAACTGGAGTGATTTCTTGGTCACGATATGTGAATTTTCCAGCTAAATTTAGTGGGTAACTGAATTGTTGTATATGTCACGTGACGTCATTTTCCTGCTACGTTTAGCGAAGGAGCTGAATGCATGTTTTGGTCCGAAGACGTGAATTCTTTTAGTAAGTGGGGAAACTTAGTTGACGTATAGATCACGTGCCGTTAACTTCACTAAGCTGTTAACGTCACGTGTCGTCAAATGACGTCACATGACGCCACTTTCCCGCCAAATTTAGCGGGAAACTGAATTGTTGTATAGACGATTGCAAACGGCATTTCGCCGGCGCCATGTTCCTGCTCGTGTGTGGAAGCACGGGAAATTGCCAGCCTGCCAAAGCCATCTCCGCGCGCGTGCTGTACCTGCTTGACGCATAGGGCACCAACAGGGACGCCATGCTTGCAAACGAGTATAGGTCAAGTGACGACACTTTTTTCTGCAAAATATAGTGGAGAAACTGAACTGGTCTGCACGCCCCATGATGTCGGGTCACGGGATCTCGAATTCCCCGTTGAATATAGCAAAAAATGCGCGGACGAACTGACAAAGTTTTGGAATTGGGAGGTATCATAAAAATCCTTTCATGCTTTAATAATTTATTAGGTCCACTTTGCTGACGGCACTCGTGAAGCAGTCACTGCGAAGTACAACGCCTGCCCCGCCCTAAGCACATTTTGCCTTGTAACTCATAGACTCACGATAACCATGAAAGCGATGAATGAGAAACCGGTGCACCGTGTATTATCACTTTGTACGACATTTTAAGTTAAAACGTTTACACATTCTTGTGATTCAGCTTGCGCTCTTCCTAAACGACAGCACTTGGCTTTCCCAGTGCTCTGCTGAATGTAGAAGCACGGGATATTTTTCGAGTATGTAAAAGCATGGAATGTTTTATAGAGAACGTCTCTTTGTTCGTCCGTGTGTTTGCCTGATAAATTTGAAGTGCAATTTCACGTCACTTAACCTGGTGTCATGTCACCTATATATCAAATTAATTTCCCCTCTATATCTAGCGGGAAATCGGCGTCACGTGACCTATTCACCGATTTGGTCTCCCCGCTATATTTAGCGGCCAAATAATGAAAGAATGAACACAATAATATACACAGAGATGATCAGAGTTAACACATTTGTTTGCAGGTTGATCGAGAAAGCTCTAAATGTTCACTCATCGCTTTACTTAGGCATTTTATCGGGTCATATTTTTTATGAGCACTTAATATATTTTATATCTTCTGCCAAAAGTCAATGTTTAATGTGTTTGAAACAACTTGAACGGATAGCTTCTACAATACCGCATTGCATGCATTGCAGTACTTTGGAGAGGAAAGTCACCTTCAATGTTTTTTTCCATGCTTGCTATTCCTCGTTAGTAACTTCTAAATGAGGTATCACCCAAGGTTCTTTTTTTACTGTTGAAAACACCTTATAATTATAGAGTGAACGCATTCTTTGACACACAGATCATTAGAGTTAAAATATTTGTTTCCAGGTTGATCACGAAGAGTAGTATGTGTTGATTGATATCCCTACCCAGGCGCTTTTATCGCAAGCCATATTGTTTATTAGCATTTAATACATTTTTTCTAAATGTTTATTTAGCTTTGCTGCCGATTACGAACTGCGCTCCATCACCTAAACCCGAGGAAGAAGAAGATCGATCATGTGAAAAAAGGGATGCGGATGCTAAACAAGTGGTGGGTTCAATGCGTTCCTTAAAAGCGTTTTTGCTTTGAAGTGGACAGTCTTGAAAAGGGCACCACGCTCTTCATAGTGCAACATAATGGTTGAATCACCAATAAAAGTTGCGATACTGACCGGGTGGCCGGCATTTCTTGTGTACAGCGATACAGGGGTATCTAGTAAGGGTATGCTAGTAGACAACAAACGCATTTCGTAATTCGAAACATTTAGAAGTTTGATACAGGCGATTGAACTCAAACAGAAGCTTAGAGATTGATATTTCAAACCAAAATACAATGGACTAACCACCTCTCCCCCCCCCCCCCCCCCCCCCCACCCTCCACAAAAAAAAGAAAAAAAGACAACATTTGTATAACACCGTAGCCACTCATTCACACAGGAAGCGGATCCGCGTTCGCAAAGCGGTTGCGAACGCGGTTTTATAAAGATCCAGTACAATTTCACGCGCACTTGATGTCATCGAGTGCGCGTGCAATTGTACTGGATCTTTAAACAACCCCGTCCGCAACCGCTTGTCGAATCCGGATCCGCTTCCAGTCTGAATGAGCGGTAAGGCTGGTCTGCCTTTGAGGTACAGCGACATTGGTTTACTCTGTATATGAGAAATTTACGACTCCTGGCTAGCGGTCTTTAACGTGCATCACGCTGTAGTAATACACGACCGCACGCCGGTACGATACTCCTCCAGAGCGAAACAGGCGTGAATGGGGATTGAACTCAGGATCCCTGGGTTTTGCTGAAGACACGTCTTATGGCGCATTCACACTGGAAGCGGATCCGCGTTCGCGAAGCGGTCGCGGATGCGGTTTGCGAACGACCCCGTTCAGACACACCGAGAGGCGGTTGGCGGTTCCTCAGCGATCACGCGTGATCTTTTGAGACTTGCGTTTGGCAACCCTGTTTTACAATCCAAAATCCACTTTAATTCAATATCCAAAGCAAAACTTTCGCTATTTTGGCACTCGGAATATATTTCTCCGGGATGTTCGCACGCATCACGAGTTCAGGCAGCGAAAAACGAAGCATGGACCCGCCAAACTCGCCTGTGATTCCCTCGACTTCGCCCACAAGCAAAGCCCAGCTAGGCGCGCCTTGCTGACTCAGAACAGGATGCCCCCGACCGTTTCTTCGAAGTGGACCCTTCCCGCATGAATAGCTGACCTTGTTTTTAGGATAGAGGGCCAGTTTTCCCCCCTCGTTGTTGTTCGCTCTTATCATTTTTGAAGTTGTGAGCGGTGGGGCGGACCGTGGTGCGGGGGAATGTGTTCGGCAGCCGGTCGTGGCTTCGTTGGTGGCGGACTTTCCTCTCGTCATTCGCTCGTCGATCGAGTCTACTGTTTGTTTGACATTAAGCTCCAATAAACGCCGTATGGATTACCTCTGCATTGTCTGGTACGTACGCTTTATTCCTCGAGTAGGTTCCCTTTAGTTATTATATTAGTAGCAAACGTTACAGGTCGAGCTAGCGCAGGTACCCTGCCCGTCCGCGGTTGTGCGTTGGCCACGCAATCAAGCTCACGACGTCTCTGTCGGCCTTCGGGGTGGTCATGCATGGTGTCGAAAGCTTTCAACAGTTCACGCGACTTAGTGGGTAGAAAAGCTGACATTTCGGTCAATCAGGGGCGGGTTCCGACGTTCTACAGGCAGAGATTAAGAAGGCAGCGAGCTTGGGCTGTGGCACCCGGAATAATAAACAAACTCTTACCCGAACCAAATCACCGGTGCGAAGCCCGTTAAAATTACGAGTCAATTTTTTTCGCGGCGGATTCAAGTGACGGACGTAAACATCAAGTTTCTACGTTGACTTGTCGAAAGCTAAGACTACAGCGCTAGGACTACAGCGCCTTGGACGCCTCACCAGCGACGGGTGTCATCTTGTTTCGAAAGTCACTGACGTCACGTCAGCGTCGCGTTGTGATTGGTTGCCGCTTTGCGGTTCCTCAAAGCGGTTGGGAGAAATCGGTCCCGAAGCGGTTGGCAAAAACGCGCTCCAACCGCTCAATCCTAGCCGCTTTGCGGTTGAGAACGCTCGGATCCGCTTCGCGAACGCGGATCCGCTTCCAGTGTGAACGCGCCGTTAGAGTTTATTGTCCAAATTAATTCGGTCTGCATCGGAAAGCAAACGCGGTTTTTACTAGTACATAGTTAAAATGTAGGATGATTAATTTTCTTGTGTGCTTATTCGGGCGGCCATGCAGACATATTTGTAAAATGAAATGCAGCTCTCAACACTATCACTTTAAAAAAAATCCCGTGAGTCTACTTTCCCGCACAACACTCGGAAAGCCCATCACCGGAACTTACGGAGGCAGCTCAGCGAATGACGATGCCGAAACATGTGTGTAGACCAAAAAACGCAGTCTGAGTTGTGATATTAAGCAATGCAAGCGTGACGTTTTGCATTGCTTAATGTCACGACTCAGACAGCGTTTTTTCGTCTAAACATATGTTTCGGCATCGTCATTCACTGAGATGCCTCCGTAAGTTGCGGTGATTGGCTCTCCAAGTGCTGTGCGGGAAAGTATACGCACGGGCTTTTTTTAGAGTGATAAGAGCACCTAGCAATACAAAATCGCCCCTTAAAGGCACCGCTGAGAGCTAAATATGTTTTGTAAATTATTTTTTATAGTTAAAACACCAATCATATTTTTTTTGTTAGTTTCTACCGTGTGCTCGATATACCTGAATATGGTCAGTTATTTATCGGTGGATTGATTTGGAGGTTGGATCACACAGGAAGTATGAAACTACTATGGGCACAGCTTCGAGACATTTCACAACTTAATATCTTGGTGGCTTTAATGAAGGGCGGATAAGTTCAACTAAAGTACAGCGTAGAGAATAGAACATAAAAAAGAGGCTCGTTTGCACATTGGGTGGATCAGTAGGCGGACTGTGCCGAGAGGTGGCAGTGTACTAAAGCAATGTTTAAATCATTAAATTTTATTGCAGAGATGTCACGAAACATATCATAGGTCACAAAGGCTCAACTTTTGAATAAACTAAGTAAATAAAAAGCACTGTAGTTACAAAGTAGGTTTGACCGCTCAGCACCTCACCACAAGAAATAAATGGGTCGCGCTGTTTTCATGCACGCGCTATTATACTGATGCTGGGTGATAACACGCGATCACAGCCTCGAAGGAACTGCAGATTTCCAGATCAAATATTGATAAAGTGTGAAAACTGGTCTAGTGAGGTTTGAACGCCTTACCTAAGCATGACAGCACCGTGCTCTGCAAACTCAGAGACGCGCGCGTGAGTATTCCAGCGCCTGTGGGACGAAATAGAATTGCACCCCAAACTCGCCGATATAAAGCGCACATTTCGTTGGAGGCATGCTTTCTATATATGTTTCGCCAAAGTGTACGTTCCGACCACATTTCCGAACCAGTATGTTTGTGCTGTGCTGCAAGAAGAAAACTGGGACGTACTAAAATGTGGTAAATATAAATTTAAGATAAATTGTAATGAAACATAAAATCGCAAGACAGTTAACGTTTGAAACCGGCTGTTCCAACGCGCTTGCATCGCAATTAGCCTCAATTGTTTGTTCTTTATGTCAGGGACTGTTAAAAGTCAGTAGGCCACGGCAAAACGAAACGGCGGAATCACTGTTCGACCAAATATCAGCAACACAACTGCTTAAATTCGGTGCATGCATAGTAGGTTTATTTCAAGCTACCGATAACGCTCTACGGTATAGATTCTGGGGGTAGCAAAGTATACAAGCCAGCTCGCATTCCTGTAGAAAGACCAATAGGTTAGACTTGTTTTCCTCGTTATAAAAAAGGGAAAAATTGCTGGAGCAGCTTTTGCAAACCTGCCCCAGCCCTAAACGTCACCCTCAACGTGGCGGCTCGAATAACCGAAGTTCCGTTTAGGCGCCTCCGCCGTCATTGTATTTTAGCTGGCATTGTTTAAACATACGTCAGCGTAATTTCGTCTTCGAGGCAATTTCTTTATTTCTAAATAAATAATTTGCCTCGCACGCGAAAATGCGCTGGAGGATGTTTAAACACTACAGCTAAAATAGAATGCCTGCGCATGACGGCCTTGTGAATGGATCCCCAAACCGCCTCAAGTGGCAAAGACGCTGAAGCTTGACCACGGTTGTCGCAAACCGGAAGACACGTCAGTCTTGGCATCGCCGTGCTGTAGCTTTGCGTTCGTTGTGGGAAGTTACAAGACGCCCAGGCAGCGACGCTGACGCAAGTTAGGCGGCGCTGCGTAAACCCACCCGTAATGACTTTTTTTTTTCTTTTTTTTTTGGGGGGGGGGGGGCAGACTTAAGAGGGGGAGGAGGAGGATGAAGGGAAGCCGCAGGCATTGCATTTTAGGTGGTATTGATTGAACGCGTCATACGGTGTTGCGCTGGAGGGACTTGGCTCATTTTTAGTGCGCATTCTGTAATTACCGTATAGAAAAAAATATGCCGGGGCGCCTCTGGGCCATTGGCGCACAAGGTATCGCGTAGTGTGCCTTGCATATACAAGGCTTCCTACGTAGTTTGTATAGTTCATATTTTTTTTATTTGTTTCAGACTGAACCCGTTCTGCACTGTAATTACTATTGTTATCCTTACAAAGACGACGACTACTTTGCATTAATGTTCTATCCGGAAGGAACGCCGTGCAAGGTAAGTCTCAGTAAAATTATTTGGACGGCTCTGAACTTCCTTAAAGCGTTATCTATAAGCATGTTTACTCTATTGAAAATAAACACACAAACTTTCTCTCCCATGAAGAAATATCGATTGCTGCTAAAAATAATAAGGTCCTATTTTTACTCGAGCAACTCCAAATCAAACGCAGTTCGTCTGTCAGATACATGGTGGTTGAAATTAGTTATATGTCCGCAACCCTAAGCTAGTCTTAACAGCTGCTAAGATTAACTTTATAATAGCTCCCACTACCACCAGCCATCAAAGTGGCACTGTCGATTTCATTTGTAATAATATTTTGCGGTTAAGTATTTCATGTGGAGCATATGTTTCCACAGATACGTATGTTACTAGTGAAAAAGATGTCTCTACAAATAAATTTACAAAATAAAAACAAGATGGAAGTTTGAGTTGATAAAACGCCCTTTTTACATTACGACAGAAAAAAAATGAAAGACGTTTACAATCCTCTGTGATGCCGATTTAGAGCGCTGCTCTTGAGGAAGACGAGGGTAGGGAACGGTGGAGAAGGTACGTCCCTGCTCCTCCTCCGTACCCTCCCATCCTCCTTTCCTCCTCCCTTCCTTATTAGTAGGAAATTATCGCTAAATTTCCCGCTAAATTAAGCAAAATATCACCGCTTAATGTAGGGAGAAATTTTTCATCTATATTTTGCGGGAAATTTAGCAACATTTTTCCTCTAAAGTTAGCGGGAAATTTAGCAACATTTTTCCTCTTAAGTTAGTGGGATATTTAGCTAGACTATTCCCGCTAAATTTAGCGGGGAAACTGAATTGGTGTTCAGGTCACGTAACGTCCATTTCCTAGATAAATTTGGCAAAAAAATTCCCTTCTAAATGTAGCTGAAAAAGTTCCCGCAAAACTTAGCGAAATATTTTCCCGCGAAATCTAGTAGAAACATTTCCTGCCAAATTTAGCGAAATATTTTCACGCCAAGTTTAGCAGAAAAGTTTTGGCCCCGTGATATCACACGTGACGTAACCTGTGACTTCATTATGGGAAATGGCTCATAATGCCACACGTGGTTGCGCCGACGCCGACGCTGACGCCGACGCCACTCAACCCACAAACGGGCACCTAAGAGGTTCGCTCTAAAGCATGATTTCGAATGGTTAATTTTTGAAGTTGGAGATAAACTTGCGGGAAAACTATTGATGGTTAGCTCTATTTACCAGATATTTCTAGGAACAATGGCGTTATCAATGCATGTATAGGTTGGAAAAAGTGCCATCCTAAACTCTCGATGCGCCTTATTTATTTGTGAATAGTAGTTTTCACCACCTGAACCTCCCATTAATCTAGGAGGGTTGAAGTTTTGATTAGAATACTGTTCGAATATTTGATACATGCTGAATAGAATACATAAGTTTATAGTCTTCCAATCTGTATAAGTGTTTCTTTGGTATATATAACCTAATACATTCGATCTTTTCAAGTTCCTGCATGTATAATAAAGAAACACTATAAACACTGCGAAAACAATATAAATGTAACTAAATTTTTGCACCACCAATGTGATGTTCCTTGTTTTATTGTATTTAGTGATATCTTAGAAATTACAATCACTAATTTAATATGCAGCCCGGTCTTTCTGACGATCTTAATATTTCAAACAAATATTTAAGGCTAATAAATCAGATAAATGTTCCCTAACCGTTCCAGTTAGACTTATTTTTTAAAGTTGATTTGCAGATAAAAGATGCGTTGGCCGTTGACAAAATATGCGGTAGTTATCAATGGAGTTTAGTAAACCTATTTCGGCTCCATGCTTTTATCTGAAAAAAATTAAGACGAGAGGAGACTGCGTTGTTAAAACTATTAGGCAAAAGAGCGATGGAAGTGCCACCCGGAAGTAACTTGACAACGAATGTCCATCAGTGGCTCTGTATCACTCTCCGTACCTTAAAGGCCCCGACAAATATATACTTACTAGTTAAAAGAATGCCGGTGCGGCCATCGGTAAAAGCGTTATTTTTCAGTTGCATAGTGGCACGTCCCCCGGTAAACCTTGCCTTGAAAATAACGAGATATTCGTACCCTGGTCGACCAACTGCCTTCTGTGTAAAAAAATCCGGAACAATGAAACATATATTTATGGACTGTTGGTACGTAATATTTCACTGGGACATACCACAGCGCACCCTCAAATAGGATATCCCGATATCACCCAGTCGGGTTCGTTTTTTGCCTGTCGACAACGAAGGGTGCGTGCCCTATGATATGTTTATGATACTCTCATGGGCCCAGTATGTGGAAGTGAAGGATGGCTGTGCAGCACGCTGACGTTGACGCTCGGCCCGTCAGGTGATATTCTATTAAAAGTGTTGCTTACATCAAAAAGTGTACAAGAGGCAGAGTGTGCAGTCCGAATGGATGCCTGCTCTTGAAAAACTTCTCTCCCTCAAAGTTTTTTAACCCGGTCACGCTGACCAGGGGGAGGCTGTGGGTTTCTGAGATTTATCTTTTGTACGACGTATTTGTTCGTTGTGGCAAACATGTACTAAATAAAATTAAAAAAAAAATGAAGCGACTTAACCCTTTGTAGCGGACCCAGGTAGCGAAACATCGTGGGCAGAAATGACAGCTGCAGGTTAGCCACGGGTCACGCACCTGGTTGCAAAACCCGCACACCCTCGTGTATCCTCCAGCGCGCAGCTTTAAATTTTTTTGTTTTGTAGTTTCGAAACGGTGGACTTTTTTCAGGCCCAACCGGTCACAAATATAGGTTTTATTAATATTAGGCTTAGGTGGACATTTACTCAAAAAAAAAAAGATTTGTTTATCATTTGTATTGCATAATACACGTAACGTCATGTGCTCAAACTTTCTTTTTATCAACAACTAATCTAGAGCCACATTCTCGCGGGGTGTCAGCTTTCGGCTTTGCGTAGTTTATTCATTGCTTCATCTTTGGGTGACAAAGTGCAGGGTTTAATTTTCTCGATTGAACCCGGTAGAAGACAAGACCTGAGCCTTTGCCTTGAAACGTCTTAATTGCTCCTCTAAGAGTGATAATCAGGCAGTATAAACTTTAAATTGATGGTAATTCGTTTTGTGATCACCATATCGCTACCATGTCCGGACGCCCGATGCTGCCGATAGCATAATGCTCAAGGTATCATTGGTTTATTCTGATACTACATATAAAATATCTTTGTTTAATAAAACACTATACATAATTCAAGTTACCTTAGGCTCACTGTTGCGTGTACTGAGAGACTGTTAGCTGTTATTGAATTTTAAAATTGAACTTCTTTACGATGATTGTGCAGCAAAAGTCTATTCTGCATAATATTGGGAAAGCGCTACCATATAAAATGTTACATCGAATTTCGCTCCTTAATAATAAAGTATGGAAGGCTTCATGACGGAAGCCTCTAATCACGGAAGTTTGTTTCTTTGTGTACGCCCATCCGCGCATCTGTGCATACACCATGTTGAGTAACGTCTCCTCACGTTAACGTCACGTTGCGTGATGGTACGTTACACTATGGCATGTGACATCCCGTGACGTCTCGGTGGGGTGTGACAGTATGGGACGTGACGTGGCGGTTACGTAATATGGGGTCACGTGACACCACGACTTGATGCTCTAACGTCAAGTGCCGTTTGATGTCATCTACACAAATTTAAACAATTGCTTCCTAGACATTTCATTGCATGTCTTATTGAGAATTGAAGACAAAAATGCGTCTGTTTTTTGTCTTTTTTGTTTGCAGTACAACTTTGGAGAAGTGATAGGCAAGTGCATAAATGAAGATTGCCAGCATCCGTCCAGTCCTCTATATAATAAAACGTTGAATGTCCCGGGTGGTAAAGATGGCGAGAAGGAAAATAAGGAGAATGCAGCGGGAGATGGAGAAAAAAAGAAAGAAGATAATGAGGGAGTGACTGAAAAAGAAAATGAAGAGGGTGGTAAAAATGAAGGGACGGAAGACTTAAAGACGGAGGAACCTCAGGTGGAACATGGAGAGAATATCAAACCGGAAAAAGAGCAGAGCCGAAACGCCTATGTTGGGGGAGGTAGCATTTTTTAGGTCGTATCTTTCTATAGAAAGGCCGCGCCCTGTTTGCTACTTTTGGTGTTAAGCACACTCATATTAAAAATTGATGTTAGCTTTACGTTCTTTGTGAACTATGACATTTGTGCTGAATTGATCTTTACGATATTCGCCTAATGTGAGGGCAACCATTTTGCTTTGTTTTTTTTCACGCGCCTTATATTTTACCGCTGGGCAGAGCTGATGCTAATACATGTGGCCAATATTGTGTTACATTCCTTCATATGAAGCTGTCATTCCGTTTGGAAAGTGAGGGTATCAATAAAGCAAGGACCGTAGTTTGTGGATAACTCAAGAACCTCGTAGAGAGTAGTTTCCTTATTCCTTGGTTTACTTGCTTCAGTATTCTTCCGTGGCTTTCTAGTATAGGTGTTTAAAACTCGTGATCGAATAGAAACATTTGCCAACCACTCAACAGTGGCCCTATAAATTAATGGCTTCTGGTTGTGAGCACTGGGATCACAAGGAGAAGACGCGGGACTATTCAACTGAATTGATTAAACCTTCTCACATCTTAGGCAATCCGAGACACGGCAAGCATCTTTTGGTGTTTGTATATCACATAAAAATAGCAGCAATGCTCCGGTCGGAATGTGAATGGAAGTATGTCACAAATCTTACTGAAATTTCATTGCGTGTGCGTTTAACTTCAACGTACGTCAATTTTTTTTTTTTTTAATTGTTGCGATTATTTTACGAAGGTGTTTTATATTTAGAGGTGCTTTTTGAACTCGTGCCCATATAGGTTGAGAATGTGAGCCTCGTACGAATGTTTTCCCAAGAACAAAAAGTAATGCTGACACAGTACAGAAGAGTGAATTCCTGCATTAAAGTGAACATGGAGCTATTTTTAACGCAATGTCTCTAGTTTAAGAATAAAAACCAAATTCTCATTTATACTTGAATAATCATCGTAAATAAAAAACATTGTAGAGGAGGTCATTAAAGTATATCTGTTTCGAATTTTATGCGTATAAATATGTGTTTGATATTAATTCGAATATATTTTTAAAGAGTAGGTGAGAGTTTAACAAGTTCCCTCTTGACCATATATTTATCTGGCTCAGCTGATATTAGATAACTGCCTATTCGTCATGGTAAGTGGTCTATTTAGTTAAATTCAGCTATTTAAGTTTTTGAGGATTCTTTTATTTAGCTATGTTGTAATTTCGGTATTGACATCAATCACTATTAGAGACAAGATAAATTAAAAAAGGTAGAAAAAAGTTAGTTTTTTCAGATATCAATGAATTAATTTGCGAGTTTCTTCTAAGGGCTTCAAACTTGCACGCAAAATGAGAACACCAAGACCTGCCCACCAAAAAAAAAACGCTGCTGAGATAGTGACGGCATAACTGAAATGACTACGCCACTGTTCTAAGGAACGGTTTTCTTCGCTTCCTTTTTTAATCGGGTTAAAAACGAGAAAATTGGTCAATCATTTTAAAACGCTATTCCAATTTCGCAAATTGCTTAAACTGGTCTGGCCTTTAATAGTAATTACAGTCAAGACTGTGATTGCAACTGGACCCATAAAACCAATAATCAACGAGAAGTTAATTAGCGAATCTGAGTTAATAAGCCCCAATTATCATGACGATTATCTTTCATCTGATTCCTGCCGAACCTGATGAATATATGGTAAAGACGGCACTCATCTAACTCCCACTCCTTTAAAAAAAGATTTCTTTCGAATTAAAATAAAACACAGTGTATCAAATCTGGATCTTGAAGCAGGCTAAAACGAAAATTAATCGAGACAATACTCTTGCTCCGGACGTCCGTCCTTAAAGGGGAACTCCGCCGTCATTTCGAGCTACCTAATCCAAAGGCATAATCTGAATGCAGATGGCTTCCTGATTCCGAAATGCTATGTCGTTCTCGCAGATTCACTCTAGTTAATTAAAAAAGTGATATTTTGTTTGCCGCCGAAACCGAAACATCGTTCTCCCTAGTGTTTCCCCAGTTTTCCCCGCCGCCCAAGCGTGACGTCACTTGTGTGCTGCGAGGCGCGCGGCCGGCACTCGGGTACGCTCGCGCCCGCCTTTCTCGCGTCTATCAGAAAAAGAACCTGGCCGCTCGTGCTGTTTGAAGCTGATAATTATCTATATTTGCACAAAGTATGGCCTTGGCCTACGTGCCTAACTATAAGAAAGTAAAAAATGAAAAATAAACACGGAAGCAATTGGAATTTTCATAAAACCGTTTTCGCAACTGGCTACGCTCAAGCCGCGGCTCGCTAGTTTCGCAATATCGCCAGTAAACCCGTTCTCCTTTTATTAGAAGACGGCTGGCGAAGAAAGGTCGAAGAGTCGCGCAATACATTTTTTGACGAATTGCCAAAGCACCGCGGAAAATGCTCGGAATGTGGGCACAGATGCCCCGCACGCTCGTAGGACCTGAAGGAACCTGCCATTTGTTTTAGATCTTCTTTTGAAAAGTTGCTGTTGCAGGCGTTAGCACGTGACTCATGTGGCATGAATATGCTCCTGGGTTGCTCAAGTAATTTAGCAAAAGATCTGTAGACCATTTCTGAAAAGCGCTTCTGGTCGATGCCAATTTCAGCGTTCGTGCATGTGGCGCGTACATTGCTCGCCTTCGAAAGCGATGAACATGTGCGTGCTGGGCTGGGACCTAAGACATGTAGACAGTCATTTTCGTAAACAATAAAATGTATAGAATAGAATGAACTGCATTCGTGTAGATCAGATGGCAGTTTACTGGTCATGAAGATCGTGTTAAAATGGCGATTAAAAGAACTTCGCAACCACCAAGCCAAACATCAAGGTGCACAACAAAATGATCACGGGTTAGTTACAACAGTCTTGAATGCTACGAAATTTGAGTTAAAAACATCAATATCTGCTCCCCTGAGGGTATTGTAGAAGTGTTGAATACTGGTCACGCGACTGGTTTGGAATGCGTATAAAATAGACAAATACACTGTTCATCTCAAAATGAATAATATTTGCTTGAAGATACAATAGTGCCTGAGGTACAGAAAGACATCATAAATCTTTTAAGTAAAAATAAGTTAACAAAAGTTGCTAAAAAAATATGTACCCGTACGCGTTCAAACACCCATCCACGAGAGCACTTGGGAAAAGGGTAATTCTGAATAAGATTTTTTTTTAATTAAGTTGGTTTAGCACAGTTTCCGTCAGCTGTAAATCTGAATGCCTCACCTCAACAACATTATTATTTTCATGGTTAAAAAAAAAACTTTTCAACCGTATATAATATTTTTCCGCAATGGAATAAATTAAAGTCGTTTTCACCACTTTTCCTGCAAAGAATATTGCACGCCAACCATTTGACAAACCAGGCAAGGCTCTATCGTATTTTAATGGAGCTCAACACCTGCTCCATAAACCTCTGTAATAGCAGACAGGAATAGCAATATGTCGAAAGTCATGTCTAAATTCAGACTTGAACTTTGTTTAGACGTTTCACTTCTCGTCTTCAACATATCGGCCGCGTGAGTGGAACTCCGAGAGTAGCCCGAGCTAGATTCGACGTCCAAAACAAATATAGTGTTTATAAAAAAAACAAATTAAAATATAAAAAATCACTGAACCAATTGTGAGTAACAAATGTGACTGTGCAAAATGTCGACAACTATAGTGCTAGATCGTGTACTATTCTTCTCCATATTATTAGCGCTCTTTGGACTGATGTCGTAGTGGTCACGGTGGTCACAGCCGGCTTGAGTTTGCGCTTGCCGCTCTTGAAGCTGTTCCAGCTGCCGAAGGAAACTCAACTCGCGGCACGCGGCTATAAAGTATTCCGAGCAAAACTGGAAATGCTTCACGTGACACTAGCTTTCTCGGCACACAGCTCGCGCAAAAGCACCTTGACGTGGCTGGCCTCCATTGATGCCGGGGAACGCTTTTTTTTTTCTCCCACAAAAACAAGAGTAAACAAATAAGCTTTTTCCCGGCACTGTTTCTACGATCTATCGCGGAGCACATATTGCTACCCATTGCAAAGGAACGTTCAACCTTGAAGCTGCGGAAAAATTATCTCGATCGCTGGCGTCCGAAAGCCACTTTGCGGGCCGCGGCTGCCCGAGTCGCTCGTCTGCCTGCACATTCGTGACGTACGCGGGTAGGAAAAAGTAGGGGTGTTTCATTGTTGCCAGTTGAGAGTCGCCTCCTGGAACCCTCGCGGCCGGCGTAACTTGAAAATTCAATAACTTCACGGAAAATGTTTCTTTTCTTAAGATATTTTGGTTATCATTTGAGAAAGGGTTATTGACGTGGTCTGCAAATTTCCAGCCAAATCGAAGTCTACCAAAAAATCGGCGGAGTTCCCCTTTAAGAAGTGGCAGGCACCACGTTACGAAGCTCGGAACCATCCTCCGCGAGATTTTGCGATATTTTTTTTTTCAACACATTCATCTAAAAAAAAAAAAAAATTACATTAAGGGATTCGAAAGATCACTATACAGGTATTCACTGACATGCAATCTTTTAATATCTCTGAATTTGGAATATTGTGCCTCCAAACGTATCTTATTTTCATTATTGAGAAAAAAGAATATCTCCTTTCAACTTTGTAGAACAGGATCTGCCAGCGAGGTAAAATTTTACTGGAACCCAAGCTTTTATGTGTGCGTAGTAGCCAGAATAAAAAAAAAGACACGAAACAATACTACACCGCCACTTTTGGAAAAAAAAAACAACAAGATTGTTACACCATTAGGGACGTTCGATTTGCCAGATGCCCGCTTCCCACACATTCAGGTGCACATCATCGGGCCACTTTCTTCATCTTATAAAATGCGCTAAATTTTGACTGCACTAAACCGTTTCACGCGCTGGCCCAAAGTTGCACCGATGAAGGGCACTGCTACACCAACAGTGGCCCGCACACTTATTAAAATGTGGCTGAGCCGATTCGGCGACCACCGACCTAGAGCGACGGTTTGAGTCGTCGATGTTTCGCAACCTATCCCGTTCTCTTGGCGTTCCGCA